ACCATCGGCCCATGTAACCACTGTTTGTTTTCTTCACTCGCCAATTTTCATCTACAAATTAAGCCTGCCATGTTTTTGAGGAAGCTATTTTTTCCACCTTGTTCCATACATGGCCTGCTTTACAATTACCGGAGATATGACACAAGGAATGAACTGCACAGAACAGTTTGGCACATGTCTTTTTTTCCCTCCTCCAAGCCTCTGATATGAGTAATTTCCAGGTTTTTAATGGCGGTATAGTGTCATAACATTTAATGGTTAGGAACTTGGTTTGGATGACACGTTCTGAATCTCGCATCGCTCAAAGACACGCACCACTTATTGTCCCAATCATCTCGTATAGCTCACCAACACCAATACAACTTGATTAATGTGACTGACTTTATGAGCAGGATAAAAGGCTCTGCATATTACCGAGGCAATTATTTTACCCCAGGAAACCCTGTGAAAAACAATGGAAAGCTCATGCAATCAATGTAATTGGTGGTAACTTTTTTAAGCTTGGCTATTTAAGTTTATAATTAACTCCTCTTCACTCCCACTAAAAGGAAATGAGGGTCCAGTGAGCAATCAGCCATATCTTTATCCAGTAACTTTGTTGCCCTGCTCTGCCCTGACCTGCCTGCAGATTAAGGGAAATTAACTGCCAGTGGCGAGGTGGCTGAAGGTTGAAGGAAAATGAAAAGGGAGCAGGTTTAGTGCACGCAACGACCATTATGTCCAACAATCAAAATGCCTGAATTTCATCAACATGCTTAAAATGTCAGTACAGCTAAAGGGCTATAATGCAGAACCTCATCAACAACTTGAAGTGTTCTTCAAGTGTTATCCAAGGAGAATTGTAAACAGTACATGCTGTGTGATTTCATGAGGTTCACTTAAAAATGTTTGTGTTAAGAGCATTTTCAGTCCACACTAACAACTCTGTAAGCTGTACATATGCTGCGTTCCAGACATTTCTGACCTCCTATTAGAAAAAGTACAAAGGAGCACCTCCTAAACTCAGAGTTTCTACTAAACTATGTAACTATACCCCAACTTCATGATGAAGAAGTGTTCTGACGTCACACAACAACGGCACCCATGGAAGCGCACAATGTAAATGGTAAACCATCAACTAAAAGGCAACCAAGTATATTTACCTGTGATTTAATTAAAAAGAAAATAGTACATACATATAATACATACTATCTAATATATAATATTTTTTAATTAACAACAAGGTCACTGCTGAGAATTGTGTCTACACTTCCACGGTCAGCTATGTTTTGTTGCCGTCGTGCCCCTGGAACACTTGTAGATCTGAAATTGGGAATTTCAATTTGACTGGAACGCAGTATTAGGCACAAACTTGCTTTGAGCTAAATGTTAACATCTCCATGCTAACATGCTCACAGTGACAATGCTAGCATGCTGATGTTTAGCAGGTTCGATATTTACCATGACCACCATCTTAATTGTGTGTGTTAGCATGTTTAGTCTCTACCAAAGTGGTGGACTGATGGACTGGCACCACTAGTGGCATGTCAGTATTCTAGTAGTGGTGCTAAACAATTTAACTAGCAATCATGTACTATAGAGGTTTGCAACTGTGGGGTTTTCAGGTTATCAAATTAAGAAAGATATATATAAAAAAATTTAAAAAAGTAAATGCAACTGAGTTTCAATGAAAATTCACCAACAACTTGTCAGTCTTTATATAGTTCATAGTTTTATGCCCAAGTATAGGAACTTGAGAATTTTGTGTTCAATCAGAAGAAGATCATGAAAACTAATGGTTTCACTGCAGAACCATATAAAGAAATGGGTTAGTTAAATAAATTAGGCAATGTACTTCAAGTGTAACCTCAGTTAAACTGTTGCAAGCATTTTTAAGTGTGGGTTGTCAAAACTACTTTAAAAATTAAACATTAATGTCGGAGAATTTCGTATTTGAGATGATCATATCAGGAATAATACTAAATTTATTTCTATAGTACTTAAAAAAAAAACACAATTACAAAGTGCTTACCCATAGAAAGGAAAAAGATAATAAAACTGACCACAAAGCTAAATATTCACTTTCCTGCAAGAAGCACATTTTAAAAGCAACATCACTTGATCCGCAAGAACAGAAATAGTGACAGATTATTGTGAGGCCAACACTGCAAACAGAATTATTGAGAAAGATATGATTAGTAGGAATGAAAAGGAATCCCACTGTTCATGACTCTGACAGTAAGAGTTTTATCCAAATGCAAATATTTGTCAAATTCGGTTATTCATATTCGGATCCCCATTAGGTATCAACTTCCTGGGGTCCATGTAAAAACACTCAACATTAAGGCACAACAAACAGGAACCATCCACACTAAATCACATATACCTTTAACCTAAAACCCATCCAAACCTACCAGATCGTCTCATACCCATGTAGCACCCTCCCAACTTCTAAAGAAAACAACACTGATAACAAATTTAAACAACAAAATGCTAATTTTAATAGAATTCCTCATCATTCCCCATTTGTAATTTTCCCACTGAAGAGTAACATATACTGCAGGAATTAAATAAGCTGTGGAGGACTGAAAGAAAACTAATGGGGCTAAAAACAATAGCAATGGTGATTCATGGGATTTGTGGAATTCAGGAGACATGAAGAAAAGCACAAGTCTTTTAACACACAAACACACACACACACTTTTTTTTCCCCGCGTACACACAACACAAAACAACACAGATGCATACGGAGGCCATGCACGTCCGCACACAGTACCGGTCCGGAGTATCACCACATACAGTGCCAGCTGAGAGAGATGGATGGGGCAGCAGTGGTTTCTGATTTAGTCTGCACAATGAGGCTGAGTGATTTTCTCTGTGGAGCATGTCTTGCCTCTCTTAACCCTGCATGGGGGGACCTCCCCCCCCACCTCCATACCTTCGCAACCCCTCCTGCCCGCCGTGTTGCTCAGAAGATTGCCTCCCTTTTCCTGTTGAGATTGGGATGATAAGCACTAATGGATGGAACCTTGCATTTAAGAGGAAAAATGTTGGTAAATCTTGCTTTAATGCCATAATAAGAAGGAAATGCTGGAAACATGTTAACCCGGTGCTATCTTGAAAAATAGAGCCAGATACAGGCCAGATAGAATTTATCAATTGTATGTATGCAATTGAATTTACTAACTATAATTATTTACTAATTTATTAACTATAGTAGATTTTTCTGCTCCCGTTCATGAACATAATGCTCAAGACTTTGGAGTATGGCAAATAAAGTAACATTCTCCTTCTTCACATGTTTCTGTACAAAACTCAGGATCTCAGCAAATGGAAATCTAAAGCTCTATAATCATAAATTCACATACACAGGCACAAACACAAACAAATGTAGACAAACACTGGTGCGACTGCACAGCGTGATCCGTGTACAGGCGTCTTTTAGCTTGCCTGGGGGTGGGCAACCCTCGTTGTCATGTTGAACAAATGTGCCGTCAAAGCTGCACTTTAAAGATGGAATGTGTCACAGGGGGCATGTGAGAAGCCCATTCGCTCGGAGGCAACACGGACGAACAGTCTGAAACAGAAGGAAGGGAGGAGGAAGGAAACAACAGGCGGCAGCGACAATCCTTGACATTTCACTACGAGCACTCGCCTTAACGGCTGCTGAATACATCCTCTGAGCAGAGGAATGATAAATATCACAACGGGTGAGGAGGTAGAGTTTTAGCCAGACCTCCAGAGGGAAGTGATTGGGTTTGAGGTGAGGAGCCTGAGACACACAGGGAGTCCATTAAACTTCCATCCAAACAGAGCCAAATCAGATGATGGCTTTGTACTCTGGGGCACTAGTCCACAAAACTCCTCACTTCGTGAAAACAGCATGGTGCTGAGCATGAAGAACCTTCTGCAAGGGGCATCAAATTAACTTGGGGCTCCTTATATTTGTGTTTTATTTATGTAAAACAAATCATGCAAGTGTAAAAACAAGACAAAACCAAATCCCCAAGTCCTTCAAACTAAATAACAAAATAGGTTCTTTGTCAATGCCTGTCATTTTCTAATCTTGCACCCGTATCGGTAGGAAGACATAATTTGTCAGTTATGGACAGATTGTGCTTTGTCTTAAGTTAAGTTTAAAGAACAATCTTTTCATGGTTGAAAGAAAACAACGTTGACTGTTGGAGACTTTGTAGAACCCTCCAGTCATCCTGATCTCCTCCGTAAAGGCGATGTGTTCAGACAGGACAAAAAGCAAACATTTTCATCCTGTGCAATTCGCTTGAATTTTACCACTGGGCTGTTTGTGTAATCATTGTTTAAACAACCAGTATACTGACCTCGGATCTCTCCGAGAACTCCAGTCTCCCTGCTTTTCCTCTCACCTTTGTGCATTAAGGGAGCATATTGATAAAGCCGTTTAAGTGGAACATTTTTGCTAAAGTTTGTGCCCCCTCACACCTTTCGATTCAATTTGTATGCAATCATAGAAGCATCTAAAATGCTTTTCTTGCATAGTCACGTATCCTGACAATTAATCAGTGATAACCTCACAATCTCCGTTCAGTGCCAACACAGCAGGTAGTTTGCACTTTGTGTAATGAGGCAGAACGTAAGGATGCGGAGGTCAAGGGAGGTGAGATTGCGTTCAGTTAATATTTGCCTTTTCATTAATCCCAACCATGATCTTTTCCTAACCTTGACTTGTGACATTGCTTAACTGGACCCAAGTGCAGAGAACATACCACACACCTCATTTCTGAATTCAGAAAGCTTTATATTTGTGTTCTTTGCTTAGGTCAATACAAAAAAATAGGTAATGCCAGGGAACACGCTGGACTGAGCACCCTGGACAATGGTTGTGACATTACCAAGTGGCCTAACCTTTACCCTACCTTATATAATCTTATTTGTCATGATGTCAGATATTGTAGAAAGTAATCATTTGAAAAAAAATAAAAAGCCTTTTTAAAAACAATGTAATACCATCTACAAGAACATCTTCTGAACCGTCTTTGTAGCAAAATGATGTAACTATGGCAAGAAGTGTCTCCTTGGACCAGAAAACAACCTATGAGTACATGACATGTGAGTATAAAATCTGTTTATTCTCCATTTAAACATTTTTCACACATTTTCCCCTCCATCAGTGACTAAATAAATCTTGACAACTTTCACAGATTTATATCAGTCTGTAATTAGAGCTGCAACAGATTTAGATTAATTACCTGTAATATTGGAGACAACTGTAAGACAGCACCGGTCTTAGTTGTGTTTTGGCTTGAAAATAAAATCTCTGTGACATCTGTTGCAGCACATTGTGCCTTCCTCCAGTGTTGGAACACTTGAGAGCATGAGTAGGCTGGTGGGGAGTCACAAATCTCAGCACCTGGCAAAGTACCTGTTGCTTTATTTGAGTGCCATTTTCTGAAATCAGACAACAACAATTGTATCATTGTAAAATGAGTAAACCAATCTGTCAGTGGTTTCAGACTATTTTGAAATGCAGCTACAGTTGTTTTCTTGAAACAAGTGACATTATCTTCGCTGTGGTGTCAAGATTGCATCATTTGATTCTCCTCAAACAAGAAAACAGTGACATTGTCTCATCCCACTGGCTGAATGTTTTACTTGTTTTAGGAAAAGTTTGAAGACAGACAGATTGAACAGTTTGTTGAGATCTTTTTTCTACCAGGCCTCCTTCTGTTCGTCTCCTCCTGTTATCCTATTCGCATATCTCCTTTGCACCTCTCTCTATTCTGTCTGTCTAACGCGCTGCCTCAGAGGGCTTTCATGCTTCGGTAGGTGTACATGCACCTAGATAGAGCTTCTTAAATGGGCAGATAGGTCAAACACTTACAGAAGCAGGAGTGTAGTCGATGCAGTGCTTAGAGCTGGACGCACGGGCAGCATGGCCAATTATTTTTTCCCTCCACTCCAGGTCCGCTTCCTTTCTTTTTCACATGTACACGATGAGTCCTGCGTTAGAGGGAAAAGCACCCTTCTCTTGTTAAAGGCTTTAAAAAAAACCTTGAAGGGAGTGTGGAAGCTGTGGGTGGACAGCCTTTTGTGTCTTCTTATCAGTTTTATCTATTTTGACAAGTTTCCTGGCCATTCTGTAAAATGCTTTGGCATCGGAGGAGGAAACCAACCTGTGCTGGCCCCAGTAAGAAAGTGTGAAAATCAATGATGTTTAGATAAGCTCGCTATCAATCCTGACATCTGCTCTGCCTCCTCTTCATCTCTTTCCTCTACGGAGCAGAACAACAAGAAAAACAAGCCTCCAAAACGTGCTTTGTGTGCATGCATTCAATGTTGGATCGGAGCGTGTCGGGACGAGAGGTGTAGCTCGAGTATGGAGGGAAGCTAAATACTGGAGAAGTTTTGTCGGTAAGGTTGCAGACTGGAGAAGGATTACTATAAATGATGCTAATTTCCCTCAAAACTTCACTCCTGTGCCTCACCCAAGCAGCGGTGGTGAGGAGTGGATGAGATCAGAGACAGTCAGGGAGTGGGAGGGTTGTGGGTATACGTGGATGGACATAAACATATAAGGATGGAAGTATACCCTCACACACAGACAGTAGTGACTCGGAAGGATATTATTTATATATAGATAGACAGATTAAGAATTTTATTTCTTATTTCTACTTATTTATTTCTATTCATTTAACATTTTCATTTTTATAATTATTTATTTAAACGCAGGAGCCCTGTATTAGATTTATTACATTTCAGTTTATATTTATTTTATTATTTATAATAATATATAATAATAATTATAATAATAATAATCTTTATTTGTAGAGCACTTTTCAAAAACAAGTTACAAAGTGCTTTAAGAAGTGTAAAGACAATAATACCCCAAAAACAATAATACAAAAACAATACAAGATAAAACCAAGAAAACATTGAAAGGACTAAAATACACGTTTAAGATAAATATAAAATAAGTAAAATAGAATAAAATAAAAGGGATAAATAAAGTCAAATAAAATCGGGAAAGGCTCTCCTATAAAAGTATGTTTTAAGAAGGGACTTAAAAGAGTTCATTGACTCAGCCGACCTGATTTCCTCGGGCAGGCTGTTCCAGAGCCTCGGGGCCCTGACAGCAAACGCTCTGTCCCCTTTAGTTTTCAGTCGAGACTCTGGAACAGACAACAGACCTCTGCCTGAGGATCTCAAGGTACGTGCTGGTGTGTATGGGACTAAAAGGTCAGAAATATAACAAGGCGAGAGGCCATGAAGAGCTTTAAAATTGATCAATAGAATTTTAAAGTCAATTCTAAAACATACTGGGAGCCAGTGTAATGAAGCTAAAATAGGAATGTGGTCATATTTCTTTGTTCTGGTTAAAAGCCTGGCAGCTGAGTTCTGGACAGTCTGGAGTCGGTATGTCCAAGGGGAAGCAGATACAGGGAAAACAAAATGGGTCCTAAGACCGACCCCTGAGGCACACCATATTTAACTGGACAGAACGAAGAGACATAGTTGTTTACAGACACGCAAAACTTCCTATTTGACAGGTAGGATGAAAAGTGCCTCAGTCTAACATGATGTTGTGATCAATGGTGTCAAAAGCAGCGTTAAGGTCCAGGAGTACCAGCACATACCTTCATCAGCAAACATTAAAAGGTCATTGGTGACTTTAAGCAGGGCAGTCTCAGTGCTGTGGTACTTCCTGAAACCAGACTGAAACTTTTCAAATAATTTGTTATTTTCCAGTACAGTGAGCAGCTGTTTGGACACAATTCTTTCTAGAATCTTTGCAATAAAAGGCAGTTTTGAAATTGGTCTAAAATTTTGATGGAGCGAGGGATCTAAACCAGGTTTCTTTAAAAGTGGGTTCAGGCAAGCCGTTTGGTTCACGCAAGCCGGTTATTACTTATATTGATTTTATTTGTATGTTTATACTCATGTGCCCTATGTATTTAAAAATGTGTAACATCATTTTAAGTTCTTACTTGCGTTTCTTTTAAAATTTTAACATGAAGGAGCACAGTCATTTCTTTTCCTGTACAACTGCATTTGTTTTTTATATATTTTATTCATTTATTCAATATTATTAATTATACATTTATTTTGTTTTACATTCTATTTCTGTAGGTTACACATCATTTCCATTGTTTTCTTACTGGCATGAGACAGGTAGCACCACCATTCGAGCAATGTCCATCCGAAACGACAGACCATCTGCTGGTTGTTAAACACAGCACAGACGAGGAAATCAGAGAACTTGGCATTCTGGTCCTGAACTTTCTTTTATCCATCAGCTCTCGTATCAGCCTTTTGTCGATTTCAGACGTGCTGAGAAGGGATTGAGTCCCAATATTCTCTTACCCCACCTTCCCACCCACCTCTCTCCTCTACTTACAGAAGCTAACATGAGACATGACAGGAGGCATGAGATGGAAGATTCAGCTTCTCTGCAGCAGAGTAAGCCTCAAATTACCAGATAGATTAGAACCAGAATCAGAGGGGCACAAAAGGCCTCTCAGGGATCGGAAATACCTGGCGTGAAGAGGTGCAGGTCAACATTAGAGTGCATCCTAGAGCCACATCTATATGGGCCCTGTCGCCAGTAGCAGATGGCATGTGGAATTGCACGTAATGAGGGATCAGAAGTATTTGGTGCAGGCTGGAAGATAGGCTCTGGGGTTAGGGTGAAGGATCGCAACCGAGAGCAAGACAGCATACTCATGTCTAATTTAGGAAGCTCAGTGAAACACAAATGTGCGTTTCTGGATGGGGAATGGCGTCTGTTCTTTTCAATGTGGAGAATGCAGCTATTATATGGGTGAGTGGAGAGGGAGGTGGACAGATGACTAAATGAGGAGTGAAGATGCAATCATGGTTGAACAGCAGTGGCAGATCTGTAGAGGCAGATGACACTACAGCTGTAATGTAGTTTCACTTTTTTTCCTAGGTGTTTAGTTGCAGATTGTTAGTTTAACAACCCTTTCAGTGACAGAGGTGCTCATGGAGAGAGAAATAATTTTTTTTTATAAAGTTTCCAAAGAACCAGAGTTCTCAGGAACACCGGAGTCAGTGCAGAAGGTGAGCTGAGCTACCATATGATTGGGTGAAAGGTGCAACAGTGGTCTCACATTATGTGAAGAGGCCTCTTCAGAGGTTTTGTTGATATACAGTACTGCAGAGAAGTGTTACAAAAACTTTATATTGGCCACTAAACACTGTACTTCCTCATATTTCTTCATAGTCCTCTGTATTGGATGAAGTCAGTAGTAGCCATAGTGTTGTAATTTAACATACCATGACTATAAATAGTCATCTATTGTTGACACAAAGTTTGAAATCCAACTTCCATCAGCAAACAGTGGCCATAAGGAGGCACTAGTCTATAGCTGTCAGTCATTCACTCTCCACTGGAATGAAGTCCTTTCAGTTTATATCAGTCCAACAGTATGTGAAGATCAGTGTCACCCGTTTAGCGACTTTCTCACAAGCAACTATTTGGGCAGACCTAACCTCTTTTCTAGACAGAGTCAACAATATTTGGCTGTACAATATTTAGTGTCTGTGTCGGGGGACAGCAGCAGCACATTCAGTTGACCAAACATGTGAATAAGCTGAAAATGTGCTGTCCCCCCCCCCCTGCCCTGTTTTAAATGATGTAACTTGAGTATTTAAGTTTTTTTTTTAGTTTACAATAGTAAGTTTATTGCGGTCTGGATCCTCAGTTCAGTTCCATTCAGTTAGATTTAAATGTATATTGATTAGATCCGTGTTTCCCAAACTTAGGGTCGGGACACAAAATGGGTAGCAGGCCCATTTTTATTCAGTCACCAATTGGCAGAGTAAAATTCTTAACAATGTTACAATATGTAAGTATGTGAATGAATGATCTTTTTAGCTACACTTCATCTTTACACGTCTGTTCAGCTCAGATGCTATGTGAGGGTTTCTCTTCTCTTTAACCTGCTCTTCTGTCCACATGCCTGTAGTCTGTGATCTGTCACTGTCAATCCCATGATGTCTAAACTAAAGTACAAGGACGAGTTTATTAATGTTGGCTTCACCAAAGCAATTCAAAATGGAGAGGAGTGTAATATGTTGGGAAGTGCTCAGTAATGAGAGTTTTTAAATGAATAAATTGGACAGTAATCCCCAAACAAAACATTCGTTGTATCTGGGAAAGTCCAAAAAAAAATTTCTTTGCAATGAAGAATCCTTCAAGACGTGTTCATTTAATATGGCACAACATACTTGTTGGAATATGGCTTTCCGGAAAAAACAATTCAGAAACAGACTAAACGCTCTCCGAATTGCACTCACCTCAAAAACCGAGCCCATCAGCTGGTTGAAAATTTTAACCCACCACCAGCCAGGGAGGGGATAAGAAAATGAGAGTAGAGAAAGGGGTGAGACACAGAAAAGAGAATAGTCCATTGTTGTTTACTTTGATGAGAAAATTTATACATTTTATATACATGGTTTGTTTTTGCCCTTTATCCGTAAATGTAGATGTATTTTTGTAAATTTGGTCCCTGGGAGAAACCAGATTTCTCTTTTGGGTCTTGAGCTGAAAAAGTTTGGGAAACAGTGGGTTAGATGGTAGCAGCTTAAAACAAGCTAATAAGCTAGTCAATTCAGATTTTTTAAATATTGTACACATGTAAATCATAAAGTTTTGGCCTCACGGATATGCAAATTACCACATGACATGAGCAGTCTATTGACATCTAGCAACCTTTCGAGCAGGCTTTAGCTACTTTCGATTAAAAATAATTGGCAACACTGGTGATGCTGAAAATGCGGTGTCAATTTGCCAAGACACAGACTCAGATAGAAAAGCCCCGTCAAAGCTGGAGCTTGTGTGAAATTTATAGATAATTTAGCCAGAACCTTTGGAATTCATTGATAAAGATTTCTTTCTTTATCAGTAGTGTTTGTCACTAAGATAATTTGAACTCTCACAAAATGTTGTTCTTTGGTAGGAAGAGTTTTAGGAAATATACTTTATTCACTTTGTTTACCTAGTAGTAGAGAAGATTGATACCAGTCTGAGATGTATACAGTAAATATGAAGCTACATCCAGGAGGCGGTAGCTTAGCTCAGCATAAAGACAAAGTTAACTGTCTCTGTCCAAGGGTGAAAAAATCTGTCTAGCACTAATTAACACTTTAGAAAGTTGCAGTTCTATGGGGAGCAATACGGTTGCTTTTTATGGCTAAGCAGTTTCAGGCTCCAGCTTTATATTTAACACACATATGTGAATGATTTCTCCTCTAACGCTCAGCAAGTAAGTGAATATGCGTATTTCCTAAAATGTCAAACTATTCAGTCCACAAAATATTTGTAACATTCATAATGTCGTAGCTTACCCAGAGAGAGTTTGATAGGGTGAGCTGCTTGGCATTTAGTTAAAAAAAAACATCTGAGTAAGACACAAAGCTGTTGATGGACTCAGGTTGCATGGTAACTCTGAAATTATTTTTGAACTTCCAGCTTTAAACCATATGAAATGAAAGGATTTAATGCTGTAATGAAAAACGAAATGCAAGAGAACTAGTCACGGTAGTAGAAATAGGACAAAGAAAATAGATGACCCCCTTGGGTTTCTGGTTGTGTCATTTTGTTCTTTTCTGTGCCAGTCGCCATTCCCTTTGGGCTCTATTACAGCCTAGACCAACTCCTGCTGCCTGGCCAGATACAAACATAATCCCTCTGTGGTATAGTGAAGCCAGGAGCTCGGGGAAGGGAGCATGTTTAACATCTCGATTCTTCTTATTCCACCGTGGGGGAAGTGGCCTTGGCAAGATTGTGCTCCAAGATCAACACGAGGTTGGTGGCCATCTGGTTTACAGTGCTGAAAATCCTCAAATGGCAAATACCACCCACAGCCTGGGCTCTGTCTCCCAACAAACATAGCAGCAGCAGACTCCAACAATCAGTCAGGCCGGCCAGCCCAACAGCAGACCAGCGGCCCCAGACCAAACTAGGGAGATTAGATCAAACAAACGATCCCGTGTGGGAAGGTGGCACGTCTCTTTAAACAGAGAGGTGACTGGCTTTGTACTGTTTTATTTATAGCGCCGTTTATCTGAGGGAGAATGGACTTTGTGAAGGCCAGGAGGCTCAGTCATCCGAGGGAGCACGGTTTGTGAGGCAGTCAAGGCTGTGTTGCACCACACTCCCCACTGAATGGAAAGGAGCTGTGCACAGGGGTACTATTATCCTCCTGCACTAACATGCCCCCTCTGGACCATCATTTCCATGAGAGCTGCTATAAATCATTTTTACTGCAAAGGAAACATCTATTGTGATTGCCTGCCCTTCTATTGGCAAATGTCATTGTCATAATAATACCTGGGAGGGTTTGCTTTACTGTGATTATGAGTACCACGCTGATGCGGCTAGGTGGGCATCACCAAATAATTTGAGTGAAGAACATCCTCAGGGGGAGGATGACTTTTAGACAGCAGTTACCGGCTCATGCGTTGTGTATAAAAAGTTCTGTGTGAAAAGTTAATAAAAACAAGTGGAATGTCAAGAGTTTTTTGTGCTAACAGGAAATGATATAAACCTTGTGCAGACAGACGTCTATAAGCCCGCAACCTAACAATCAAGACAAAGTCAAGTGGTTTTCTAACATTTATTATTAATTTGTGCCTATCACATTTGGGTCCGTCTTGTTCCACCTGCTTATACTGTCTGTGAAGAGATGCCTTCCTTACACACTTCCAATTTAAGTTGGCATCGCTCCCTTATTATGTTGATTATAGAAAATCATACTCCAGGCGTCATTACATTTCTTTCAAAACAAAGAGCAAATGAGAAGTATATAGACATTAATCTTATTTAGAAGACAGGATTTGTGTTCATCAACATCACACTAAAAATTGAGTATTATTAACTTTGTCACTTCTCAAAAGTGAATACATTACTTATAACCTGCTTAGTATAAATATGTAGTAGGGGAATGAGGATAGAGCTATGCACATACAGTAGGTGTGCAGGTAATTACTGAGAAGCAGTTATTTGCTTAAGTGCAGTGAAACACATGAAACAGGCAAATCATTTCAGCTGTATGCAAAAGGAGAAATATCCTGGGTTTGAATTATGCAGCATACAGAAACCAGCCCTCAGCATCTTTGTGTAAACAATATTTTCCAGGAACCTATGTGTCAAACATTAGCATGCAGAACAACTGACTAGCGCACAGAGGAATTCTGTTGTTTGGGACCTGGGATATGTCATCCCAAGTTAAGGATATGTCAGCTACAAGGGTGGCTTCCTGCTCCCCCATCACCCTTCAGTGCACCCAATACATTTATGTATCTTTTTTGGTTTTTACTATACTACATTTTTTCCTTCTTCCTTGTCTTCCAATTTGTACAGCCACTTATCAGGTTTTCTTTACTTTACTCTCTTTGGACAGAGGGATTCTCCCTGTCTCCCTGGTTAGCTGTTCATAGATCAATCCTCTGCCTGTTTAGCTAATTGTCGGCAATTGGGAGCGGTGTGTAATTCATCCCCGGGCGTGATCCATCAGCCGCTCGATCGTATTGACGTGCAGAAGACTCCACTTCTCGACGTGTGTTTATCAAAGTGCTGCAGAGAACACATGCAGAGAGAGGCAGATGGATGTTCGTCATGTTGATGAATATGGAACAATGCACTGAAGTGGAACGGAAGTCAACATGATTGTGCACAATAAAAATAGTATTTCAAAGTTTATTTTAATTTTAATATTATTTAGTTTTTTGGGTTTTTTTACAAGTTACAGTTTAAAATTGGGGCCAAAAAATTACTTTGACATGAAAAAATCTTCACTCAATGTCCACTTACTAGCTTTTTGGAGCCGTCAAAAGGCTTCGGAAAGCACTGAAATTTGGTATTTCCACGGTCAAGAACTTTCACACTCAACTAATAGCATGAACTCTACTGTATATAGATGGTCATGTGCTCGAAATTAGGTATGCCAATCTATCGGGCTAGTCTATTCCTTTCAATTACACATGTACTACACGATGCATAACATTTTGCTAGGAGAGCTAATACAGCATTTTGTTTTACAAAATTAGGAAGCAAAGTCAAACCTGGTGTTGCCTTACACATAAAAGAATGATTACATGATCTTCCTCAGAGTGGGGAATACAGCTTAATGTTACACTGCTTTTGGATCGGTACTCTGCATCGGCCGATACCCAAAGCCCAGGTATTGATACCGGGACAGAAAAAGTCTAATACACCCAATTGACCTTTCGCTAAGCCAAGCCCCCATTAGTTACTGTTCCTAAGTCGGACCTGTCGGTCTTTTAGCATGGTGCTGCCACTGTTTATGACGGCAATTCCAGGAGAAATATTCTCCAATTTCTTGCAAAAAGCAATCTCAGAAAGAAGCCGACAGTTTTGCAGTTGCATTGTGCATTTGAAGATTGTTTTCAGGCTAACATGAAAAAAATAAAGACAGAAGCTAAAGCCTCTCAATCACAGAGTAAAAATGAACCACCGTATCAACTGACTATTACCTGAACAGTAGTGTTATATAACATTACATTCAGTGGTAAGTTAGCTAGCGTTGGCTAACTCACATTACATTAGGAACAATCCACAGCCTACATTTATCTGGATTTGTTTTAGGTGTTGGAAAGGAAATGAATTGTACTTCTCCTTTCAACCTCTCTGGGTAGCGACTATAATTAAGTGCCCGAGGAACAGTGTTCCATTGTATCTTGTAATAATACAGCAAGATAAAGCTACAAAACGATGCCTTTTGCAAAAGGTCAGTGGAGCGCAGCCATGAAATTGCCGGACCTCAGTAAGAGCTAGTGCTATACTGCGCTGTGATTGGCCAGCTGCATGTTCAGGACGTGGCTTAGCGAAGGTTTTTTTTTTTTACTTATTTTGTTCAGTATCTGTACTTTTTGTTGTTGTTTTACAAGCCAAAAGTGATCAAGTTGAAAAATCTAACTTGTACAACTATTGGTCATTTGTCTTTTTTAAACCAAAAATGCCTTTTGCTCACTCTGGCTTCTCATTTGCTGCTTTTCTCAGTTTCATATCATTATAAATTGGTTGGAACTTCTTGTTGTTGGAATGAACACGCAATTTGTAGACGTCTTTGGGCTCACCTTGAACTGGTGTAGAAATTTTATAATGAAATTAATCAAAAATAATAATAATTGATAAATCTATCTGTAATGAAAATAATCATTTGTTGCAGCCCTGTTCAAAACTCAGAAGAAGTATAAATCTGTAAACAACCCCAGATGCAACTCACCTTTCTTGATAGACATATGGGGCTTTAGAAAACCTGAAATTGTACCCACAAATCATTGCGTGAGTAATAAACAGCAGGGCCCAGGACTCATTTTTTGATGGAGATGAATTGCAAGAAAACAACAACACAAAAGCAGCTGAGACACCAACTGACAACTCAGCCTCAGCGCTCAGATCTGAAAGTCCAAGTCTCTGACAACAGTGATGGCAGCGCCTGCACTGGGTGACAAGCCCGATCCATTTGGCGCTGGCGAAGACACAAACACAAGCTGTCTAAAGGGAGTAAGGTAGACTTCAATCAGCTAAAAGGTGATAAAACATAATTAATTCAATCACCCACTCACTCTCGCTCTCCCTCCCTTTTCGCTGTCCTCTGAGAGAAAGGCAAAAAAACAGCAGTGAGCGTTTCCTCGTGCAGGGAGGTATTCACACAAGCAAGTTAATGGGAAACTGCGTTCACAGTTTCTTTCAAATAAGCCTCCTCTTTCTCTCTATTTATTCAGTACTCACTAATAAGCTTGCATCTGATTGTGTGCGGTTTCACAAGGTGGCTCATAATACAGCCCGTGCCATTAAACACACACTTGCTCACACACACATACCATTACCTGTGCACGCAGGCACAAATAGAGTTCTTTATTCACACACTGCATGTTGAGAGCCTCTTTGCACTTCTACCTTTAGTCATTAACTGTAAGACCTGGAAAATGATAAATGACAGGCAGATGAGAGATGAACAAAGAGTCGAGGGAGCAGGCGTATATACGTTTGTGGGTGCACTCATGCATCTCTTGAGCAGGATGCAAAATAAACCAGTGACATAGAGCGTACCATTAGCGCTGCTCAGCGCCCTGCAATGACTGAGAGACCACTAACACCCCAACCAGCCCAGCCTTCGTCCGTCAGGGTCAAGAAGGCCGCAATTACTTCACCGTGCTCCAAATGTCCTCAAAACAGAGAGTGTGAGATGGAGAAACATGGGTGGAGGGAGGGAGTATTTGGGGAGGTGTAGCCTCTGAAAATTAGTTAGCATCAGACTTCTTGTCAGACTGGTGTGAAATATGCACCGGGGAAATTAGTTGTTTGTCTGTGGAGATCACGATGGCCTGAAGGTAGATGTGCAGAGATCAGAGATGTGTGTATGCACCTTTTTGTGAGCTCAAATGACTGAGTGAGTAGTTGGGAGTGTATATGAGTGAATCTGAGAGTTCATTTCAGGCCATACAGGCAGCCTATATCCCTGAGAAGTGGTGCAACAGTGAAAGTAGAACCCACTTCCCCGAGGGGCTCGTCTCCCACTAGAGCAAGGTGTGAGGAATGAGAACAATAGCTGTTGAAGCCAGAGTCATGTTTCAGCACAATTGCTGCCCGCTGTAACACAAGGCCGCTACGTCCTGTCTCCCATGACAACCAAGCCCTATGCTCCAGGGATTGGCTGGTAGCGCAGGAGGTATGTCCTCTCCCTTGTTAACTTGACCACAGTGGATAGTTGCCACTGGAGATGTTTCGTTAAAATAAATCATGGAGGAGAACAACAACTTCTCTGTCTAAATATAAAAAGTTATTATTACTAACAATAATATAAGTCAGTGACTTTTAGAGAAGGCACTAATTTCTGCTTTTTCCCCTTAAAAGACTCTGATCGCTTGGCTTTCATTAGCCTGACACTACTTACAGGCAGTGGTGGAACGTAACTGAGTGCATTTACTTAACTGTACTGTTCTGTACTTGAGTATTCCCATTGTATGCTACTTTATATCATTCAATCGATCTTTATTTATATAGCACTTTTCATACAGATACATGTAACACAAAGAGATTCACACTACAGAGCCATTTAAAAACAATAGTTTAAAAACCACAGTAATGTAATAGTACCACCCCATATAATACCCATAACTTTGAATGCAGGACTTTTACTTGATACAAAGTATTTCCACACTGGAATTGCTGTTTTTATATATATCATATCTGAGTACAGCTACTTCTTCCACCTTGCTGCTTACAATGAGTTTTTAATCCGTATGGATTTTTAAAGGTCT